AATGCAATTCAAAACTAACAGTCACTGGGCTGATTCTATCAAGATTAGGCATGGGCCAAGTCTAATTGTACACATTATTTTCTAGTAAGCAAGGCATCACATGGAAGTACTTTTCTAAATAAAAGCTTCAGAAGACTTGTATCCAAGTTCTATTTTTTGCTACAGTCTGTACATAACTAACAAGCAAAAAGTTTTAGGGCCCACATAATCTACCTGAGAAATGAATGGGGCCATTAGTTAGAAATGATTCAACTGTGTAAGTCAACAGTCTTTTGCATTACATTTAAATTGGACTTCAGATCCCCAAATTAGGTCATACAGAAGAGAATAACAGCTGCTCCCAATTGGTAAGATATTGCTCATCTGTTAATAATTCTCTGTCAGAAAACCAAAAATGTTCTAGAAAGCTTTCCAGAAATACACTGCTCCTCTAGGAACAATAAAACATTAGTAAATTTGAGAAAAATAAATTTTTAAAGCAATTGTTTACAACAGGCCAAAGGAACATTTACTATTTAAACTTTCTCTTAACTGAGATTAAATAAAATATATATACATTTTCTTGATACAAGGTGGAAAATGAAATAGATGACATCTAAATAAATTAAATTGGAACCCTCCAAAAAGTAAATGAAAGTTCTGTGCATATACAAAGTGTCAGCCTATTTGAACTCCATGTGAAAAATGCTCAATTGACAGGCTCAATTGATAGGGTGAAGTTTCTGATCATTCCCATGGTACATTATTACATGTTACAATTTTGTACCTAAATCATCATATCCAACCTTGAGCTGGCCAGCTGAAGATGTATTCTTCAGCCACATGCTGTATCCTTAATCTCTCTAAGTAGAAAGCTATGAATTATTAAACCGACAATAGCATGAATAATGTCAGATTTTGTGGATGTTTCCTTTTTTATAATTATCTTTTCCCCCTAATATGTTAATTGAGATTAACAATTCACACAGGCCCCATTCAACCTTCACACTATAATAATGACTTGCATATAAACAGGAGATATAAAGCTATTTTCTCTGGTTTCCAGTCATCTAAGCTATCCAGTTGGAATGCAAAAAGAAATTATATTTAAATATCAATGTATTGTCACGTGCCAGTATATTGTCACAGAAATATTGTGTTTAGCTGATGATCATTATGCCTATATGCACGCAGGCACAATTCTGTACAAACTGGTATCTGACCAGGGTTTAAATTCTTGGAAAACTAGTAGACTTTAAGATGAGCTTTGCCCCACTAGAAAGCAATATATTATGAAGGTTACTGAAAACAGCAAGATTATAAACTGTTCTCCAGGGGAGAAGACAAGTAGTAATGGGCACAAACTGTACCAAGGAAGATTTAGGTAAGACATCAGAAAAACTTTCTACCTGTAATTAAGCACTGAAATAGATTACTTAGGAGGTTGTAGAATCTCCATCATTGGAAGTCTTTAAGAATGGATTAGACAAAATATCTGTTAGGAGTGATTGAGCTGTAGGGCAGGGCAATGGATTAGATCTACTAAGGTGCTTTTTTTCTGTTATTCAATGGTTCAATGGGGCCAGAAATGTACTCTGCATGCTACATACACAGATTCCACACAAGTGGAAATAATCTGAATTTTTAAGTGGAAATCCATATTTCATATGGATAGTGTTAGCTGACGACTGTAGGGTTCATTGTTTGTGGGTATCATTTTTTTTTACAAGAGCAAAACAGTTGAGACAGAGTGAAAAACAATGCAATAGCAACTTGATTTTGTCGTCAGGACTATTACTTTCTTAATGACAACTGAATGCTGTGAAAAATACACATTCAAGGTATTTTAGAGCACTTTGAAAGCCTAAACTAACATAACTTATTAATCATCTAAAAAGTACATACGTCTGCTTGGCTTCCTTTGGGAGTTTCTAGCTGTTAAATCACCCAGAAAAAAGTACATCATATAATAAAAATGGATTTCTTGGAATGCAACATTAAACATGGTATCTGGTTTCATGTAAATTCAGTGAATGATTTCTGGGATGTTTGGCTAGGTTGTTTTTTGGACTGTGCAGCCTAGTTCCATAAACACAAATATTTAACATGCCAAACTTCATTTTGTAGTATTATAGTTCTGTACCTGTAGGAAGAACAAAACTGGAATAAAATTTGAGAAAGAAATAATTTGATGAAATTTTGCCTACCTGGTTTCAAATTTATAGTCAGTTATACTCTGGTGTGCAACAGGGTTAGGTATATTGGTTCTACTGATGTCCACATTACATCCCACAGCATTCCTCAGAGCATGTAACTTAAACAAACAAACAAACAAACAATTCACATGCTTTCACTGTTTATGGAGGAAACACTGATCTATAACCTGAAATGCACAAATTAGTTGCCAGATAGAAAACTGCTAGCCCTAAAACATAAGAGAGTTTAGTTTGTCTTCCTACTCTGTATCCTCTTGAAATGATGCACCTCAGAAATTAGTGGGATTCAGAGATTCAGAGAGATTAGCAAATGACAAATCTCAGACTTGCTATAAATGGCACCAGTGTTACTTTTGCACCAAACTCAAGGTGCCATATTAGGAATAACTAGCCATAAAGAATGTTCCATATACAATGCATGCTGCCATAAATTGAACATATGACATGCTGATTGATGGGTATCAGCCCCAGACATCTGACTGTCAGAATTAGACCTGGGCAGCTTTGGGTCTCCTGGCCATGACTACACTGAGTTTCCAACTGGCCTGGGGTTTGGGAGCTTCTGATCCCCTGCAACTGACAGCCCTGGTAGGGCTGCAAGCTGTCACATAATTGGGATCTGTTCCTAAACCAGACAACTGCACATTCTACCATACACACGTGAGGCAGGTAGGATGCGCTATTGTTAGGATTGGGTATTTAGACCTGTGGTGCCATAACCATGTGCTAGCAGCCTTAGATACGCAAACATCTAAATGCCACTTAGACATCTAATAGGTTTGCTCCCTTGTCTATACAGCATCCCTTTGCTATAGAACGTCCCCACTGACCAGACAATCAGCAGACAGCAGAAATAAGAGGCATTTCCATGGGACTTGTTCTTGATCAAGAGCACATCTTTGTTCCATGGGCATAAGTAAATTTGTTTATTTGGTCTGCTGCTTGGTGGCTTGTTGGGGTTTAAAAACAGACAAGTGTGGCTGGAAGAGACCTCAGGAGATCATCTAGTCCAGTACTTTTCAACGTTTTCATTTGTAGACTGCCAAAAAATTTCAAATGAAGGTGCAGATCCCTTTGAATTATAAGTGTGGACATTTGCATATTTTTGATTGACCATAGTCATCTTCTGCAGACCCTTTAGATATAGACCCCCAGTGGTCCGCGGACCACAGGTTGAAAACCATTGATGTAGTCTAAACCCCTGCTCAAGCCATTTCATTCAAAACTTCCAAGGAGATTACATAGACTAAGATGCAGCAGATAGCAGAGGGGCAGAACGTATGTCCAGACTGTGGAAAAATCTTCAATTGCAACTCGCACCTCATCAGACATCAGAGAACCCACACAGGGGAGAAACCCTACAAATGCCCTGACTCTGGGAAAAGCTTCAGACAGAGCTCCCATGTTATGATACATCAGAGAATCCACACAGGAGTGAGACCCTACAAGTGTGATGAGTGTGGGAAAGGCTTCCATTGCAGTACACAACTTCTCTGGCACCAGAGACTACACATAATGGAGAAACGCCACAATTTCCCTGTCTGGGCTTCTGTGAACAGCTTATTTCCTACACTTATGAGTATCCAACTCCCTGTCTGTGGGAGTTGGAGGGCAGCTGCAGGTTCCCCCAGGCTGCTCAGTGAATCTCTGGCTCTGCTTCCTTTCGAAAACCCCAGGAAAGGCAGGAGACATTGCAGTCCTCTCCACCTTGGCCTGGTTGCCAGACCCTTCTACCTCTGGTGCTGGGATGAGAAAGAATGAACTTCTGTCTGGACTCAAATACCTCTCCACTAACCAAGTCATGCTCCTCCATGGAGGATGCTTGCACTAAACATCCTTTTTCTTGCCAGCGCACTCTCTCTGCCGCATCAGCTGTGATGTGGGTTGTGACTCTCTCTTGTCTGAAGTCACTGATTTATAGAATAGGTTTCCCCTAGACCCATGTTGCTTGACTTCTTGGCCCTATGGGCCACAGGAGTGGTGTGCAGCCTGTCTGCAGGCTGGATTGGGCCCTGGGGACCTGATGCCAAGGTGGAAGAACTGGTTCTGAGAGATTTCCTGTTTACAGATGATGCAGCTTTGGTTGCTCACAGTGAATCTTCCCTGCAAAATCCTTTGGGCAGATTTTCTGAATCATGCAAGAGCTTCAGGATAGCAATTACTCTCAAGAAGACAGTGATCATGTACCAAGGGGTGGAAGAACCAGTGCCTGACATCAGGATGAATCTTTTGGTGTTGTTGACAGTTTTTGCTACTTGGG